GTCGCCGGGACGACAAGATGCCGCAAACAAACAACGTGATGCAACCTTCAACGATCGGTTTCAACAGATTGCCTACCGATTTGAAGAGTTGGACGTGCGTTTCACGGATTGGTTTGCCGATCTTTCGACGGGGATCGAGAATTTGCATTTGATGCTTAACAACGTGGTTGTTTTGGAATTGCAAACGAACCGCGATGAGGCTGTGGGCCATGGCTTTCGCGGGGGAGACAGGGGCGGTTGTGAGGGACTTTGCCATGTCGGGGCGCCCCGGCAGCGGTCCCCGCCACCTCTGAACGGCTTCGTGGACAGCGACGATCAACGCAGCGACATGGACTGGCACGAGGAGGCAACCTTAGCTGGTGGATATCGTGCCCGACGCGATTGGGGATTTGATCACGAATATGGTCAATGGGAGGGCTCGTTTCGCGTTGACATCCCTGAATTCGACAGTGAGCAAGTTGACGGGCCATTGTACGACGGTCCTGCTATTTTCGATGAGGAGCCTCCGGTGACGGAACCATATCTTTGCAACAATATGGGTCCCGCGTGGAACGTTGCAGAAGTTGAGCCTTTGACGGAGATGTCGTTGTTCAAACCTGATTTTTGGAGTATCTTGTCTGACGATGGTTTTTCAGAGCCAAAACCGAGGCTCAATAACTGGCAGGCCGCTCATCTCAGGAAGAAAAGGCCTCCGACTATGCTAAACATCAGTGAATCAATAGAGTTGTCAAAGACCAAGGCATTTTTCGAATAAAACGCACCGAGATGCTTGGCTGCAGTTATGGATTGGAGCTCGGTGAACGTTGTGTGATGATTGGTGTTCCTTCCGCTGTGTGGGTTATGCATATGGAGATGTGCACGCGTGCCTTTACAGCAATTCGGCCCTTGCTCAAGCTTATGTTTACCATTGGAGTTGTTGGGCAATCTTCGTACTTCGTGTTTGATCGGGGCAAAGGCCAGACTATTTTTGTCTTATGAGTGTCTCCAATGATAATGGATCGTATTGGAGGGTGAATCCTGCTCAACCGGGTGTGAATGATATAGAATAATAATAATAATAATTATTATTATTATTATTATTATTATTATTATTATTATTATTATTATTACTATTATTAAATAATGATTAGCTTGGGGAATAAGCTAAATTTAGGGTTAGAGCCTTATTTAAAGGGTTGTTATGCTTTGTTATTGGGATAGTTGAATATGAAATAAGAATTAATTGAGTTTTGTGAGTTTACGTGTTTTACGAGAGAGTATCTCGTTTACTCGTTTTATCCTTTCCCATTCGTACGCTTTCCCTACATCAGTTGGTATCAGCAGTCAGTACGATTCGCGATGTCGCCGGGACGATAAGATGCCGCAAACAAACAACGTGATGCAACCTTCAATGATCGGTTTCAACAGATTGCCTATCGATTTGAAGAGTTGGACGTGCGTTTCATGGATTGGTTTGCCGATCTTTCGACGAGGATCGAGAATTTGCATTTGATGCTTAACAACGTGGTTGTTTTGGAATTGCAAACGAACCGCGATGAGGCTGTGGGCTGTGGCTTTCTCGGGGGAGACAGGGGCGGTTGTGAGGGACTTTGCCATATCGGGGCGCCCCGGCAGCGGTCCCCTCCACCTCTGAACGGCTTCGTGGACAGCGACGATCAACGCAGCAACATGGACTGGCACGAGGAGGCAACCTTAGCTGGTGGATATCGTGCCCGACGCGAT